CCAGCAGATTGAAAGGGTTGATGGCTCATTTGCTAAATGAAGCTGAAACCTGACCCGAACAAGACTCAAGCCTTCCAATTCAGGAATTGAAGTGCACATCTGGGTGACCTCAGGCAGAGTTCACATCAGTGCATCTATCTGCTTTAGGTGCCCACTCTTCGGAGACAACTTGCAAGTCGGCAACATGTCGGCCTAACTTACTAAGCACCTCGGCCGGAAGGCCAATGACTTACCAAGGTCGGCAGGTCCGGCTCTTGGTCCCGCAACGTGCCCAATTAACGTAACATGGTGCGATGGGATTGAACAAAAGTGGCTAAGCAGATTCGGCTGATCGGGTGTCATTTGGGCGATTGTCAAAACTAGGGGGCCCCTTTTCGGTATCTTTTAAAGGGCGGCACGAGGCGGCACCAGGGTCCAAAAAGGGGCCATACTTTTGACAACTCCACAGTTCAACCGCCAAACTAATCCTCGTCCGAGGCGCGTGCACCAGGGGCAGCTGCCGGCAGCGCCCTCGCCGCAGTCCTGGAACGACCACCAGTTCACGTGGCCTTCGAAGACCATTTCTACAGCACCCGCCACCTCAGGCGCCGACCGCTTCCAAAAAATCGGGGGAGCCCGAATTCTGATCCATACTTCGAAGCGGGACTAGGCTAAGGGAAACCTACCGTTTGGCAACAGGATCTAGGATTGATTTCGAACATTTTTGAACAACCCAGAGCAGCCATACTTCTGACCCGTCCAACACACATGCACGTGCTGATGGGTGACGTCGAAAACGAGTCAGGGAGTGGTGTCATGTTCCTCTAAGGGTGTACCCGATATTGCCCCAAGCTACATGCACTTAGGAACATCAAGTATAGACGTCATCCCACAACCTAAGACTGACCTGAGGTCACCATGTGCACCACATCAACCGTTGCAGAGCTCCTTCAGCATGCTGGCGAGTCTTCCAACAAGGTCATCGAATCAAACCTGCTGTCACACGTTGCAAGACCACTCCTTGCCCCACCGAGCAAATTCGCAACTAGTTGTCCCACCCGTCCAGTGCCCAATCCAAACAGGGCCTCAGCCGAGAAGCATCTGAGATGGCGGTGTCGTAGAACTCTGCACACTCGTACTGCCCCAAGGCGGAGCAGTCTTGCGTCCTCAGATCCGAAACGATCGGGCGCTCGGCAAGGACAGAACCCAGCCATGGAACCCTCTGAACCCTCTGAAGAAGCCGGTCATGCCAGGAGCTCTGAAATATTGGAGACCTACTTGGAAGCCGACGTTCCTACAAAAGGCCCCTTGCCAGGAAGGTTGAGCCCCTTCCAATCGAACATTGGGTATATAAGGCGAACCGCCAAGCCGTTCCATTTCCCTTTTGGGCCAAGCAACAAGATTAAGGAGGAACTGAAAACGACAGTCATGCACTGATTCGCCCTGCTGATCAGCATGTTCATGAAACAACACGGTGCCAGCTGGACAGTGCATCGTGGTGATTCTTGCTGCGCGCCAAACATCAAGAACCAAACGTACAAACTGTTGAGGCTGTTTAGGGTTGGAGGCTTCAAGTTGCCACAAACACACACAATCACAGGTTTACCAATTAGAAACCAGCAGAGAAATCGAGCAATCGCCTTGAGAAATTGAGAAGAATGGGAGCTTCCCAAGTGTAACACCCAATTGTCCTTCAGAAACCCCAGTCAGGTTCAATGTTAGTGGGTGAAGGGTAAGTGGGGCCTGCATTCCTTGACCGAGGCACACAGAACAAGGCTTCTCCTCCGACTGCACGATATCCACACAAAGGTCTTGCACATAGCCTCTGGCCACGGTAAAAGGCTTCCGGCAGGAAACCCGCCAGGCCATTTGAGCCTCTCTAATCTGATCTGCTCAATCAGGGGACCTCCCAAAACGAGTGTTGTCCATTTGGCTTCCCCTTCAACACCCTCCGCAAGGGCACCCGCGAAAACACAAACAACAAACAAAGAAACAAAGAAACAAACTAACCAAACCAACACACGCACAAATTAAACAGACAGACAAACAAACAAACAAACAAACAAACAAATCAACCAACCAACCAACCAACCAACCAACCAACCAACCAACCAACCAACCAACCAACCAACCAACCAACCAACCAACCAACCAACCAACCAACCAACCAACCAACCAACCAACCAACCAACCAACCAACCAACCAACCAACCCATCAACCAATCAACCAACCAACCAACCAAGCAAGAAACAAACAAACAAACAAACAAACAAACAGACAGACAGACAGACAGACAAACTAACAAGCAAACAAAAGAAAACAACTCCTAACCAAACCAACCAAACAACAACAACCAAACAAACAAAACAAACAAACCAAACAAACCAAACAAACCAAACAAACAAGCAAACCAAACAAACCGCCATCCAACCAAACCAAACAAACCGCCATCCAACCAAACCAACCAACAAAAAACACGCACAGAAATACCCGTGCGAACCCCCCCCCCGGCCGAAAAAGAAGCACATGTCCCGGCATTGTTTTGGGCATTGCACTTTATTATGGACCTGGATGCTGGTTGATCGCATTGCAACTGAGTATCACTAAATGGTGAGTACTGGCCACCTAACGCCTGGTTGCTTTATGTTTCTGGTTTCGGGGTGAAGGGGCAAAGGGCAACTACGGTGCCAGTTCCTCAATGTCATCACTCGAAACCATCAATTCCTACAACATTTCAGCTTGCCCATTTCGTCCCATGAGACAGGATGCGAACCAAAGGGTGATGCATGATTCCTTTGCAGCAGAGATGGAAGGGTTTGCCCACGCGCACAAAGGTTGTGTAATGGTTCTTATAGTTCCTCGATTTCCTCCCTTTCCCGCACAAAGAGCATATTGCCATTTGAGCGTTAAGCTGCGGCTGAGCCCAAACCCTCCTGAATTGTTGGCTTCTTCTTTCTTTTCCACTTCAATCTGTCCCCAAAAGAGTCCAACTGAGTTGGATATCCCGAGAGCAGGCCATGTGTGTTTTTCTTTTTTGTTCGACCAAGGCCCATGAATCAATAATCTACATCTGCATTTGCATTCGCAAGTGACAATCAAACAGAAATATGTAAACGATGAGTCATCATGCATAGTGTTTTGAATGTAAACATGTAACTGTATGACTGCATGAACACATGTGTGTTAGAAATCTTGCGAGCAAATGAGCATTCTTCCTGCACCAGAAGAATGACCCCCCCCCCCCCCCCCCCCCCCCGCCCCCCCCCCCCCCGCCCCCCCCCCCCCCCCCCTCCCCCCACGAATTTCTACGAGCTTCGAGGGTTCCTGACCTCAAGCTGGTTCCACAAGATGATGTGCAAAGAAAATCCCTGTCCTAGTCAAAGCTTCCTCGGAGAAGGTGCCTGTGATGTATCAGCTCTCACCAGGCTCCCAGGTGCCATGGCCCTTCCAAGCAAAGAAACAGCAGCCCGCCATCAAGCTGAGGGCGTCCGAAATTACGTGGCATATTGGGGTTGTCCTATCTGGGCTTCTCCAGAAACCCCGAGGCGAGCGGCGCTTGTAGTCCAGGTGGTTGCCACTGCTCTGCCTGAGTAAGAAGGCCCGAAGTTGCAAAAGGGCCAAGCTAACATAGGCCACTGCTCAGTCTCTTCATGCTACATGGTTTAAATGGTACATTGCACAAACACAGACCAAACAAAAACCATGTGAATCATGCATCTGTCAGAGGGAAACCAATCGAGAACTGTTGGACCGCCGCAAACTTGGCTTCCAGCGCAAGTGTGCAACCGTTCTGGCGAATTGCCAGTGCACAACGAACCGGCTCGCTACACATGTTGCCCAACACCTTCCTGGAACAGTGAAGTGATCCTTGGTTCGTTTGGTTCATAGCTCGACCACACATTCAACACCACCAATTGACGGAAAGATCAGTCAACTCAATGGCCTTTGTGTTTCAGAACTTCATGCAACAAACCGCTAAACTAGAAGTTTGAATGGCTCGCCTCCAAATCAGGCTTTCCTGTATGGGTGGTCCAAATGGCAGTGGGTCCAACCCACTCCTGTCAGCTTTGGTAGTTCAGCCAACCAAACATCTTTGCCTTGTCACCCGGTCACGCTCCCCTCCAACCTGCCCATCCCCGATGTGTCCCTCGTGTATTCAACACTGCCCGCAGGAGTCACAAATAGCACCTGCCACCTAAAACCAACTGGCGAAACAAAGGTCACTTGCAAGTGGAAGGTCAACACTGCCCACCATGACGCAAAAGCAGCATGACCCAACAGGATGCAACATTCGGGGATCCGGACCTTCCCTTCCCCTTCCCGCCTCAGGCTCACCTGAAAATCCTCAGCCCGAGGGCTGAGGATCGACGCCATGACCAGCCACCAGCGCATGCATCGTTCGAGTTCAACGGCGTCTGATGAAAGGGACAAAGGAAGTTGGTTACCTGCCGCCGTCCTTCCAAAATCAACCGAAGCCCCTTTTTTCATGGCAGAAAAACACTGTCCTTCGCCTTGACCAAGCCCCATCCCCCTGCTTTTCCGCCGGCTTAGCCGGCCGGAATAGCCAACGGGGCCAAAGACTGCGGAAGCGTCAAGCGCCAAGCGCACACCGTACCAAAGCACAACTTAAGAAACGTGTTCAGCTTACATTTTGACATGGCAGGGCTGGGCCACTTTTTCAATTATGTGCTCAACCCACTAGATTTCCCAAAATCTCCTGCAGGTTTCCTGCCTCCAAATTCCTGCTGGAAATGGCATGTTGCACTTTCAAACTTTCTGAGGACCTTGAAAGTGACTTGTCCCAGGGTCCTTTGGTGAGAATGAATCAAAAGACAACGGACTTGCCGGAGTCTGATTTCCATGAAAGTGAGTCATGATGGAGTTGTTCCACCCTCAGAACCCAAAACTCAGTGCCGGACCCTGCCCGTCCTGGAGTTGATCCTTTGGTAAGCCTTGAGTGGCTCAGACTTCCAAGTCCCCCCCCTCAAAAGGCACCCAGGTGCAAGCACCAAAACCGGGCCTGCTCCTTGAAGGACATGGCGCGCACGCCTGGGAACGGGCCAGGTAAGATCATGTTCCCCCTAAGGAGCGTAAAGGGACCTTGACCTTCCTCACATTCGTGTGTCTCTACAAGTCTTTAGATTTGAAGGGACTCCAACCTGCAAAGGGAACAGGGCTGCGTCTTTTGAACCGACCGGCAGGGTGGCGACTTCGCCCCGGCCACAACATTGAACTGCATGCCGGGAAGAACGGCCAAGTGTTTGCTTACGTCTCCTGAGCTATAAGGGCCACAAAGTCCCCAAGTAGGACCACGCGGTTGTTCGAACCGGTTGCAGGAAGTGATGCATGCAGGTCCTTCAAGTAAATCCAGCAAGGGGATGACGTCACGGACATATTCAGGCATCTCCCTGCGAGGTGCGCTTGGGGACCCACGCGGCAAGGCCCAATAATTGGAAAACAACCCATGCAAGGAGGGATTTCCTTGGACAACACTGCAAAAACAGGCTCGTTCCAGCCCAACCCCCCTGCAAACACGACTTCAGGGCAAGCCCAGCCCCAGAATCTCAGCAACCTCACCGGAGCTTGGTCTCCACCTGTGGCAGCTTTTCAAGCAGTGACCATGGTCAAGCGGTGAGACGTCTGTAACATGGGACAGCTTGCTTGTTCTCAGTAGGGTGCATGAGAAACACAATATGCCACCTCTGGAGCGATTTCTGCTGAGAAGGGGTCTTTAGACCACCATGTGGCCGTAACCCACCCATACTCCAGACCACTACTTCCTCGGAACTGGCAAGATGGTGAGACGAACGCCTTCTGGCGAACACTCTCTGTGCAGCTTGTGGCACGAGATGCTTCGCATCTGAGGCCATGGTTTGACGGTGTCGTCTAATATCAACGCAGGGCAGCTGGGTGTGTCCTTAAGCAGGGAACCATCCGGAAACATCTTTCTAGTTGAGTAAGGGGAAACAAAAGTAACCGCACAAAAAGGAGGTCCCTCACACATGTCAAACTTACAGTTGCATAGCTGACATCGGGGGATATATGGGGCATGACTGCTGCTACCCTGCCAACGTAAAACGTCTGTGTGGGATTTGTGTGACTAGAGTAGCGCCCTCCAAATTCCACATAAACCAAAACCACAAACCGACATCCACCTAGAATAATTGCGAGCACAACCTCCCTCCCCGGCAACGTTCACTACTTTCTCACAATGAACTCCGACTTTTGGGGTTGAAACGCTGCAAAAAAGTGTCCTTAAAAGAGCACGCCTTCGGCGATGAGCTCAGGGAATACTGGTCATCGTGTAGAAGATCTCGCCTCAGGTGCGAGTCACACAAAACCTTGCAAGTACTTCAAAACCCAGTTCTGCGAAGGGACTTCGGAGAATGGCGTGTTGGAGACTCAAAAGGGAACCACCTTGCTTCAGGAAGGGGCTCGACGAAGTCGAACAACTACTAGGAAAGTGGAACAACTTCTGCAAAGGAAGAGCTGTCTGTGCATAGGTGTCCTTTTTGGGAAAATGGATGGCCCTGGTAGCTGATTGAACCACAAGGTAAACCAGGGCCCTCGATTTTTCAACCAAATCAACCAAAAGGACCTATGCGTCTGTGCCCACGGTGCATCCGACTCTTCAGGGGCCTCAGTGGCCTCCCCCTCAGCGGCCCTCCCGCGCCTGGGGCCTTGCGATCCTTGGCGTGGAGGTCCACGAAGGTCCGGTGCTCTCCCCAGGCCATGAGCTCCTATCCGTGGATAAAGAGCACCCCCGGCGGGTGTTTTCATGCTGACCCCACAACCCCCACGGGGGGCCCTCCAAAAAGGTCACAGGCTGATAAAAAACCTGGTGTCGAAAGCTGCGTCACGCTTCTTTTCCCCTGGGTTTTATGCGTTTTCTCGTCAATGGCTCATGCGTTGCTGTGAACGGGAGAATTAGGACAGCATTGTTTTTATGCAGAAATGGTCAAAAACCCAACGTTTTTTTGCATTGTTGTAGTTCAATTGGTCAAAAATCTGGAAGAATCAACAAACACGAGCCAACGCAGAGCAGAAGTCATTCTCAATCGGAAGCTGATACCTCCAAACAAAGCTATGCATGTAGCGAAACAAATCTGGATTGGCTTCTTTCTCTTTCTTAGAGTGAAGCTGAGATGGCACATAGTCCTGCAAGGATTGCCACCATCTGTCTATACATTGCGTCCCCACTATGAAGCAAGCTGGTCGCTTGCGCCCTCCCCTCATCTGTGAGACTCTCCTAGCGAATTCATGCTTGCTGTGATTCACATGGTCGCTCTCCAAACGCTTTTTACCAGCATCTGCAACCAACTTTGGCCATGCCTAGCCCCCGGTGACGAAGCCACGGAAATAGGAGAGCGCAGCTGCAGCTCTAGTCTCTCCGAGGCAACGCTCACCGGGGAAATGGCATGCGGGCGTCGTCTCTTAGGCGAAGGGGTGCCGCTCATCACGGGAAAACAAAACTAGATCTGTGCCAAAAACTCACAGGGTACATCTGCCGTGTCTAGGTTTACACGTGCGTGCGTGCATGCGTGCGTGCGTGCATGTGTATATGTGTGTGCGTCCGGGGTCGTGGCCGTCATCTACCTGTGTGCACTGGCATGTGTGTCCGTGTGCGTGCAAGCCCTTCAAAACGTTGCCCACCCCCCCCCTCCCCCCCCTCCCCCCCCCAGCTGGAGACTGCAACTCGACATATCACAGCTGAAACAGAAAACGGCTAAAAGACCTCCAAAACTACCAGGTCTTTTATCAGCCTGTTTCCTCCAAAAAGTGCAGATTGGCCAAAAAAACCGAGGGACACCCCCCCGACAAATAGACGGGGTTGATTGATATGATATGGGGTCAGGGGAACCATTAGAAGGAAACGAACCAGTTTGAGGGTTTCCTGATTTTGAGACACACCCACATGGAACTTACCAGAAGGTCCCAGGAGCGCATCTTCAGGTTTCGCGCTAGTGCGTGGTCCTCACGAACCTGAAATCATGAATTTTCAAGGGAGCCTCATGGATGTGCTCGCTTTACCCCCCGGCCAAATGGAGACAAGAGGGCTAAAAGGCCAAAGTATCCCTGTGACTGCTTTACAGCACTTAGAGAGGTTCCCAGAAGCCTTCACAGAATATGGGATTCCTCATTTGCCAGAACCACGGTGGGCCCGGGGAGATGGCGAGGTGCTGCACTTGATACATAGGTCTGGGAAACAAAGTCTCTCACAACGCCTACATTCGCTTTACCTCCTCCCCATCAGCCCCCAGCCCCCTGCGCCTGGCGCGTGCGAAGGGGGTCCGGGCGCTGGGGCCCAGGGGGCGGCCAGTGGGGCCCGGCGCGGTGGGCCACGAAAGGCCCCGCAATGAGCTCTGAGGCGCTGGCCTTGGTGTCAAGCAGCATGTGGCTGTGCCACGTCTGAGCACCAGTTCATTGAACCCTCTAAAACTCGGGGGGTTCCCTCGCGTTGTTTACAGAAAACTTCCTTTTGGGCATGCGATCAAAGAGTCAGGCCCTCATTGAACCTCGCAAAAGACCGCTTGATTTTTTGGTGTGGTGGGTGGGGGGGGGGGTGGGGGGAATGATTACGTCACTTCTTCGAGTTTGCTTGACAAGAACTTCTTTATTTCCTGTTTCTGTGGGGTGCGTGATGTTCTCTGTTAGTGTGCTGAGCTGTCTTGTTTTGCTGTAGCTTGGTGTCAGAAGACGTTCGTCTAGCGTTTGCCCTCATCGTCTTGCTGCGTTTGGCTGGCGTCTCGCATTGCTTCTCCACACGCTCGGCGCTGGGTCCTTTCTTCACTGTTTGGCTGCCTTACTTGGACTCTCTTCTGGACGTCGCATGCCAACCAGCGGACCCCATCTCGTCCTTGTGTCTGCTGTCACGGTATGCCCACATAGGTTTCCGATTGACTTTTCGGCTTTAGGCGCCTACGTTCCTTTCTTGTGGTCCACCTGGTGCGCATCCTGGAGTCGTCATCTGCTGCGCCCTTGCTCTGCTTCCATCGGCGTGGCTTCTGCTTGTTGGGTCTTGTCTCGTCGCTTGTCTGGCTTACGTCTTGTCGCTTTGGTTGAAGAACAGACTAAGGACCCCTTCCCCCCGTCGGCTTTTGAAAAGAGAGTTCATCATGCGGCTCCCAGGCAACATGCAGTCTTGAACCTGCCAGTGTGTTGCCTGCAGCCGAAAAACCGACAAATATTTTTGGGGAATTTTGGGTGAAGAACAGACTAAGGACCCCTCCCCCCCGTCGGCAATTGAAAAGAGAGTTCATCATGCGGTTCCCAGGCAACATGCAGTCTTGAACATGGCAAAATCCTTGACACACGATAGTTGGGGGCTGGAAAAATGAGCGTGCCAGGATTCGGGAACGCAAGAAATTCCCCACTGTCTCGGCCATTTTGCATGAGGGACAAAATCCTTGACACACGATAGTTGGGGGCTGGAAAAATGAGCTTCTGAAAGCAGCGTGCCACTGAGATTCGGGAACGCAAGACATTCCCCAGTCTCGGCGCATTTTACATGAGGGACAGACGCGGCTCTCCTTGTCCCCCTGTAATCGCAGCTTCGACAGGTTGCTCCGAAGCCAAAAAACGCACGATATTACACGGGCTACTATGGGCGGTGTACTAGTTGTTTACATGTAGGGTTCGTTTTTTGATGGCAGTCACTACGGCAGGGTGTTGCTAATCCGGAAACTAAAGAAACCCACTCTGCTGGACGGGTCCCTCATGTTGAGACACAACAAGTTCTTGCAAACCCCAACCCCTGGGTCTAACGCCAAAACAAAGGATCTGGGGTCCAAACCAGCACAATAATCAGACACTGAACACACTGAACTGACTCACACTCTGATGGATGCAAACCTCGTCCAGTGCCTGCTCTTCTTCTGCACTGGAATTACTCAGCACGCGTTTGAGGACTCGATTCAGTTCAACTATGCCATGTGTGGCTGTGCAGCTTAGCTCTCTTTTGCACATGCCTGGCTCGTCCCTGCGCTGATTCGCTGCGGTACCCGATTCAGCCTCTTAGAAAAGCATTGCCAAGAGTACCTAAGCAACTGCTGAGCGTAGGAAGGGTACCCTCTGCAACCTTCCTTCCACCATACCAAGGCAGGAGCAGCAAAAGGCAACGGTGTCGGTGGGGGCGAGGGGGGTTGTATGTGGAAGCAAGATTGCGGGGGGTTAGTGGCTGAGTGTGACCCAACAAGAAGACTTGAGCGCATCATTGAGCTTTGCATAAAAAAACAACGAGAATGCCCCGACTGAAAGCAATGCACTTTGGTCCATCTCCTTATTTGGGGGTACCAAGAGGCTTACTTTGGCCGGCCCAACCCACCCAACCCCCTAACCATTATGTCGTTAGTATGTGGCAGTTATAAACCCTGTGTGGCTTGAAACTCTTTCCCTACCCGGAATCCCAAACATATCGTTCTAGGAGCAAGCTCCTTTGGGGGTCCAAAAAGAAGCTGCAGCACAAATAATTGCATCTGAGCCGCCGCCTTGGTGAGGCTGCCCATGCCCGCCTGCGTGAGCGTGTCCGAGATGGACTGGCCTATCGGGATCAATAGTTGGCCATGGACTTGCACAAAGTTGTGGCAAACGCATGCAACCAAAAGACCTAGCAGTGCCAGGTCGCCTGACTGAAAAAAAACATCCCATGGAAAGACCAAGATTCAGGCCGCCCCAGCAGCAAAAGCATAAACTGCAGCTGCCGCTCCAACTCAACTCAAAACCTTACCCAACCTCTCCTCCACAAATATCCGAGCAAAGCGCGTGGCAAGCATCGCAAATCACACACACAGTACAGCAAAACCAATCCAACACGGAACAAAGCAACAAACAACACCAGCCACAACAAATGCAAAAAAAACCCGCCGCAAAGCAACCAACGAACCAACCAACCAACCAACCAACCAAGCAAGCAAGAAAGCAAGCAAACAAGCAAACAAGCAAGCAAGCATGCAAGCAAGCATGCAAGCAAGGCAAAGCAAAACACAACAAAGCAAAGCACTGCAAATCAAGCAAAGCAAACAAAGCAAAGCAAACAAACCAGCAAGCACGCCAGAAACACAAACTACAAAACTATAAACCAAATAGGCAATATTTCAACAAACAACCAAACCAAGCCACAAAGAAACAAAGAAACAACGAAACAACGAAACAAGCATTCAGCAAGCAAAAAACAAGCAAACAAGCAAGCAAGCAAGCAAGCAAGCAAGCAAGCAAGCAAGCAAGCAAGCAAGCGAACAAACAAGTAAAACACAACCACGAAGGACACGCCTGTGGCTGCTGCATGCTTCATGATATGATGCCCGCTTGGCCGCTCAATGGGTCCCATGGTGCAAGTCGAGCTCCTGGCGAAACACGGCCGAGACGGCCGATGTTCGGTCAAGGCGAGAAGGGTTGTTTTTCTCCTTACGTAGTGGCACAGTGTTGGTCCATGTTTCTCTGCCTGCGCTCTCTCTGGCAGAATGGTTTGGTAGTGGTTGTTATACGTCATGTTCTCTTGGGGGTGATTTGGGGGTGGTTGGCACGGAGAGCGTTGCTTGACCCTAAGGGTGTTTTTTTTCTTTTGAACCCCTCGTGGAAATGCAGGAATGAGCTTCTGCACCCCTACCGGTCTCCAAGAAACAAGTGCTTCGGGCACGGCATTATTAATGGAGACTCTATCCAGTCATGGAGGCAGTACCCCAAGGCCAAACCTTTTGTGATCGTTGGTTTGCTTCAGGGTCCCCGGGGGGCTGAAGAAGTATGGGTCATTGACAGCCAGCTCCCAGCCCTGAACCCCCAGAGCTGGACATCGTGCACTTTCCTCGCTTTCCTTGTCGTGTTTCACGCAGTGCAGCTCGCCCGTCTGTAGAGAATCTATGAGAATGTACTTGCCCTTAACTGACCTTAGCCTCGACCTTCCCAAATGATTCCCCGTTTCATGCTGGGTGTTCCTTGCCCCAGCGAGGCGGCGAGGCCCGCCTGGGGATTTGGCTGTAGGACTCTGAGTAGATGGTCCTCGCCCCCTTCTTCTCGATCCGCTGCCGTGCCAGCGCCAGCTCCTCCCAAGGGCCCGGTGAAAGCTCAAAGACACGAAACAAACCTCCCGGCATCTGCAAATGACGAAGAACCGAAACGAAATGAAAAACAAACGCCGTTCAAGGAATCTATCGGATCAGGCCTTCAGATTCCGAAACACGTTCAATTGGCAACCGCCGGCGGGCCAATCTTTCCAGATCTGTACGGATGGCGCCTCGGTTCTCGCCGGTTGGCAAAGTTGGACAACGAGGGTCCCAAACAAAAACACCGCAACGACACAGAAAGCAACCTCTTCACAATGAGCTACAGGCCTCCAAGCCTGAAGAGCATCCCTTTGAAGGGGCAACTTTGCTGGCTCAAACAGAAACAGTCGTTTGGTAAATTGTCGGTTTTTTTTTTCCCGGGAAGATGAAGATGGAAAGGACAATTTTGCCCCTGTTATCGTTGAGCGCATGCACCCCAGCCCCTGCGGAGTTGGAATGAGTTGGGGCCTACCAAAACCGGACCGCAAACAAACAGGAATGTGCTGGTCAAATCTAAGGCCTGGGGATTCAAACTCGAATTGAAGCCAATGTCTTCTTTAAGCATGCCAGGATGTAAGCCATTTCTGCAAAAGGGGCCAGACTGCCTCCCATTGACAGAAGCCGAACATCTTGTTTGGGGCAAAGCCAAGAGCAAAGCAAAGATTGACCTGCGGCTCCTCAATACATTCATTCCAATGAGCAATATTGTCCAACCAGGAGGCAATGCAAACATCCGGCCCACTTGGCCCAACAAGGCCAGCAAAAGGGGAAAGCCATGTCCAAAGGCAGTTCGGCAAACGCCTTCCACGCTTTTGGCGGTCTAAAGCCAACTTCTTGCAGATTTCACCCTTCAAGGTGGGGAGATCCTCCTGTTTTGTGGGATTCCCGCTGCAACACCGTCCAAAACAGATTCACAGAATCCATGCTTAAGCCTGGATGGTCACATGCAATGGCTGGGCTCAATGGCGAAACGAGAAAGGATTCACAAAAACAGTAAGCAGCCCATTTCATTTTGGTCTTCAAAGGCGTTCCTTGGCCCAAAGCGGGGGGCTGTGGCCAAGAACAAATACCATAGCACCCATGCACTGTTGGTTGCCCTTCGAGTAAACTTCAAATCAAATCTAGGCCACTTAGGCCTACTTGGCACACTTCACTCCCCACCCCCCCCAGCCCCTCCAGCCCCTAGGTTCCTCCGGGGTGAAGGACTGGATGGAGAAGGTCTGGGGCCCACTCATGGCCGGCCGGTTCCGGCCCTGCCGCGCCGTGGGGTGTAGCCCACCTTGGCCCATCCGGTCCATCCGCCGACCGCCGACCGCCGACCGGACGGCGGTAAACAGCTGGACAGGCATGCAACGTGGAACTCAAACTTCGCCTCCCCAAAGGAAGACTCCAAAAAAAGAGCATGATGTGCTCTTGTTCACTGCTAATCCCTAGGGGCGTCAGAGGGGGAGTGTGGAATATGTTCAAAAGCACGCCATGGACCATAGGAGCATATTTTTGCAAATCCCTTAGACCGTCAAATTCGGCATGTGGGGCGATGCCCACAACCTTCCTGTGGGACTCTGTATCTTTGTTGCACTACCGTTTAAACAGGGCTTGAACGGAGCGGGGTCCGTGTCCCTGCCTCAAAAACCTGTCATCTCGATTGCGGCCACAACTCTGAAGATTCCCCGCGGCAAAATTACGAAGGCCGGCGTCATTTGGCCGGCGGGAAACCAACAAGAAACAAAGAGGGTCATTTGGGATGTGAAGCAACGTGAAATCATGTGATGGGCGCTCTTACTGGTGACGTGGTTCCAAGGGTGCCCTAACAAGATCTAGCCGTTGAATTCGGAGGAGAAGATGGAGAGGCATAGTCATATACCCAACTGTTACACACCCCATGCAGCCCAGCATGCCCCCGCGCAGCAAACAAATACCCCAGCAGCCCAAACATCCACGTATCCAACCAACAACAGTAACCAGCTAACTTGCCCGGAAAACAGGGAAATCAATCTTGGCTCCCTGATTTTGCAAGAGAAACTGACCCACAGAACAGAAACAATGGGTGCCACCGTGACAAAACCATTGGGACCATTCGTAAGGCCAAAAGGTTCGACAAATAGTGACCCCTTGTGACCTGCGGTCGGTGCCATTTGCACCAACAGGGTGTCACCGAACAGGGGGCTCGGGGCCTCGCCTGTTGGTCAACGTTCTAGAGCGTCAAACGCTAGGAGTCCCACATGTGTGTTCGTCCAGTTGCTTGGTTTGTTGTCAGGTCACTAGCCCCTCTCTTAGTTTGCTGTATCTCCTTAAGGCATGTGTCCATAGTCTGTTAAAATCATTCCCTGGAGCAAGCAACCTACTGTGAGGAGTCTTGTCCATCAGCTGATAAGCAATAAGATTTACACCCGAGGCGACCATCCAATGTAGACAGACATATCGTGTCAAGTCCTTCCCAGGACTTCAAGCCAAGCCCTGGAATACCAAAGTGAGTATTTTCATCACAAAGTGGCCCACGGAAGCGATCGATTGTGACCCAAAAGAATCCAAAAGACATTGCCTTCTGGTTCTATAAATGCAAAAATACGACAAACCCCACGTTCTTGCCAAGAAACCCTTTCCAGGGCCAGCACAGCTGGCGGGGTTGCTGAAGAAGTAATACCTCAAGCGCAGTCAAGAGCTCACAACTGCTTCCCTCTGGAGCACCAAACAGTGTGTAAACATAAATCATGTCTTGAATATAATACATACACACTCCTTTATATATATATATTTTTATATACATACACATGGATATGTATATATATATACATATACATATTTGTGTGTGTGTGCATACATCTGTGTATATCAAGATACTCTAGGGCGGTCCCTGCCCGCTTCGCGCCGATGGCTGCAAAGGTCTTTTGCTACAGCGGGTCTGCTTTGCGAAGTCTTCCTTGACAAAAGGTGTCGATACCTTCTGAAGTTGTCGACACCTCGAGCATCACCAGCACTGTAGCGAAACAAATGCTTGTCCGCTTGCTCCAATTAGATGTCGTGGCTTTCAAGTTAAATCGCAAGACCGAGCTTGCCCGGTCTTCGTTGGCTAAAGAGGTCGACACCCCCAACATGATCAGTGCTTGCTTAATACATGAAATGTTTTTCTTCTTGTTAAAAGTAGATGTCCTCATCACAAGTGCTTGAGTAAAGGAAACTGTGCTTGCGCTTCCCTCGGAAAGCAAGCCGAATCTTGTCTCGACGGAAGCCAATCAAAGCGCCGAGGCAGGCTCCAGTCAAAAGTTTTGACCATGCACAAAGACTATAGGGACAGCCGCGAACCGGAGAGGATTTTGAAGGGAAGGAAGATGGCACGGAGTGCCCATGCAGGATCGCAAAGGCCAAGGTACACAAATAAATAAATGTATAATATATGTATACAACTGTTAGACTGAGCTCATTCAGCATTCTCTCTTTTCTGTTTTCCTCCGCGATGCTTCGAGTCGAAAGGAGTTGATCTCCAAATGTCTTTGGTTGAGTTCCCATACAAGGAACGGTCATCTAGACCATTGTGGCATGCAGCCACTGTCCTCTCCTGTTACACAGGGAGAACTACTTGATCCAATGCATTCAGGTTGAGTTCCCATACAAGGAACGGTCATCTAGACCATTGTGGCATGCAGCCACTGTCCTCTCCTGTTACACAGGGAGAACTACTTGACAAGTACCTCATAGGGGGTGACCCTATGAAGCCTCGAGGGTTGGGGGGGGTGGGGAAAGAAAAAGCTATTTTGGCAGAGACGTACTCTGAAAGTCTCGAGCCAGGATGTCACATGACATGAGCTAGCATTCACAGTTGAACATGCGCACCAAGCCTGCCCAAGCACTACACATTACATATACATACATATGTGCACTTGTGTGCAGATACTATATAGATATGTGGCAACGCTCCCTCATTTATACGTTTTATTTATTTCGGGCCATGCGCACGCTCCAAGAAAGAATGATTGTAGCTTTGCGAGCGGGTGGTGTTCTATGGTGTTCTGCACGAGGGCTGTGTGTTTGGGCCTCTTTTGTCGGCAGTTGTCGCCCCCCGCCAAGCAGAAGTCTCACGGTTGAACCACTAACCATCGCAAGCAGGAAGCCATGAGCATCCTGTACCTTCGTCACTTTTCGCAAATTCACAAAGTTTCGGTACGAGCGATCTGCTCCCAATAAGTCAGGTGAACCGAAGCGCCGGAGTTTAGCCGAAATAGTTCAATAAACCTTGTCAGATCTTGTCAGCAATGTTGATGGCAGCCATGTGCAACTCAATTTTGGAACCTCACTTGTACTGCATGCGATTGCGCCCAGACTGAACCTACAGCGCAGGGCCCGGGCAAAAAAAAACCGCTCGGTTCAGTTGCGAACTAAAGCGGTCAAAAGGCAAAGACGGGCGAAATCGATGCTACACATGCTATACCTAGACCCTCCAGGCCGCTTGCTGAAAAAGCAATATGGTGTCTCGTTTGCTCCAAAAAGAACCTTGTCCTTTTAAAAGTGCTGCTTCAAAGTCTTGCCGGAACGTGGTCGGCAAGTGTTGCTTTTTGGTCGGGGAATGTCGCCTTTGGGTCGGGCAATATCGCCTTTTCGTCTTCATCCTGGTTTCGCAAAACAGCAAAATGCGCAAACATGTACTGAGGCAAAAAAATGTGTCGTTGGCACCAAAAGGAGCCTTTGGCCCAAACAGCACAACAAATGCACACTTAGGAGGGCCCAGGTATAAGTGGAGCCGGGCCCGGCAAACTAGGGCCCTGTTAAAATTCGGGAAGCCAAAAGGTCGAAAGCTCGCAAAACATGTGAGAATCAAAGTTTTCTATGTATAACCATCAGAACATCAACTGCCGAGCGATAATGATCCCATGCAGAACCAAAGAAGCGCAAATCATGTTTCCATCAATGAGCCCACAGAAATCTGATACAGCTCTGAGGGAGCAGCATGTCAGAAGTTGTGATGCCTTCGCCTCCCCAAATTCCATGCCTCCCCGACAATGGTGGGCACGCAGGGTCTATTTTGCAACCAGCTGCTTCATGTTATTGGATTTGAGTCTGCAAAGTACTGTGAACCTCGGATTTCTCCAGAGGACTGTATTCGGTGGCGGTCCCCCTAGAAAGGAACAGCTGATTTTGGCGAGGTTCCTCTTACCCACATTCGACAGGGTTCGTGGCTCGCATTCCTCGAAGCGAAGCCGAGGCACTTGTCCCAGCCGCTGGAGCTGAACCCGGACTTGTGATTGGTGGGGTCCTCATCCCCGGTCTCTACGAGGCTGTACCTGCAAACAAGTGCCCCCCCCCCAAACCAGAGACCCACATCTTGGCCTTTTTGCCGTTTCTACTTTGGGAGTCGTTTGGACTTTGGAATGAACCAGCGATGACTGGGCTTGGAGCGTCTTGTGCGTCGAAAGTGTCGTGCGGATTGCACAAGGACATGGCCGTGTGTTGACAGGTCAAAAGGTCAGCTGTGGGCACTCGTGGGCGTGCACCGCTGCGACCCGGTCCTGACAGCGCTGCGTGGATTCCCAAGGCTGTATGCTATTTGCGGTCCAGACAGTTCCGTCCACCAAACCCCTTGAAGTTTGCTGTCCCGGATCCTTTCAGAAAAATAGCTTGTCCATGAAGATTCTTTGGCGAGCCCTTTCACAAAGCACTCGAAGGAAGAAGAAGAGCGGCTGAAGAGCTTCCTGTTTTCCTGCGCTCTCTCAATTGGACCTCTTAGTTGCATTGTCTTCTCTTGGCTGCAGGCCTTGGAACATGCACTGGCTAGGCTAAATTAGAATGGGGCTGTGCGCAGAAAAACACATTGAGTGACTGGAGGACTGGTCATTATTCAGCCACCTTTGCCTCTGTCTAGGGACGAGGTTGGCCACTCGCGGAGGGAGTGTGGGGGCTGAAGAGGTTGGACCTGCAAAGAGGCCCACCATTCTCATCTTCTTGTCCAAGGTGAATTCTGAACTCAACAGCCCTCAAGAAAACTGAAAGTAGCGGGCCCATCCCGGACCTCTGTGGCAAAGCCGAGGCTCCCTCATGCCGCTGTCGCTGAAATTCTGATACTTTGCCTCGCTGGTTTCCTTCGCCATGGCTTGAGGAGCCCACTGGAAGGCCAAAAAGGGCTGAACGCGAAAGGCGAACGGCCCGTGTCGGCGCAAGGGCGAAACCCTGAAACAGATGACCCCTTGGAGCCGAAAACGGCTCCGGAAGGCGCCAAGCTTCGTCAAGCGCCCGAAGACCTTCGAGCATTTCCAGCCCCTTCCAATCCCATCCCCCGGAAGTGGCTCAGGGCTCGGCTTGCTTTGGCGGCTGAGGCAGCAAACACCCCTTGAGCCCCCAGGCAGTCCGGCGGATGGGCGCAGCTCTTGGCAGTCGCGACGAAAGACGGAAACCTGTCATTTCCCGCTTGAAGGGGCTGAATTCTGTACCGGTTCAAAGCTCAAACGTGGGGCAAAGCATTGGTCGAAGGCCGGAAGAGAATTCATCGGACATCGGCACCAATGCAGTGGCACTCAAACAACTGAAAAAATGATCAACATCAGGTTTTGCAGCTTGGAGACTGCCCCGCAGCAGTCTCCTTCTGCCTGACGTCTCGGACATTGCATTTCAGGGCTCGCCCGTACCCAGAATCACTTGCCGCAAGAACTTATGATCAAAGTCAAACAGTATTCATCCAGTTCAAAGCAAACTACGCTCTTCAGAAATTGATTGCTAATGAATTGCTTCAGTTTGTCCAGCTTTCCAAAACTGCGACACGCATGCTAGCCCATCCTGCCCAGAAATAAAGCAAGACACACGCGACAACCAGCCCCCTGGATGTGTAGTCTCCTCCTCTGAGCTGGACTGGTTGAGCCTAGCCGCCAGAGCGCTAAAGCAGAGACACTCCCAAACCCCCTAAAAAATATTATGGCGTGTTGTTCCTTTTGGCTTTGGGGTGTGCCATTTGTGGTCCTTGGGCCCCTTCTGGCTTGCAGGACCCAGTTAAATGGCTGTCGCTTGGGGCAACGACAGTCCATTAAAAGGAGTAGGTCGAAGGATCCCCCCCCCTTTAGCAAGGCCCCAGTGTGGGGGGAAGTGTGTCCGAATTTGGTCTGCGCAGGCTCGCGGGCTCGCGCGGGTTCGCAGGATTGCGCGGGTTTGCGCGGGTTTGCGTGGGCTTGCGCAGGTTTCGTGGCGGGCGCGGCGCTTTCGCAAGGTCGGGTACACATTTCGCATCATGCGCGGGTTTGCGCGGGTTCGCGCGGGTTAGCGCGGATTTGCGCGGGTTTGCGCGGGCTTGCGTGGGTCTCGTGGCAGGCGCAACACTTTCCCAAGGTCAGGTACAAATCTCGTTGCAGGCGCAGCACTTTCGCGGGGCTAATAAGGGATAGCCCCCTTTGACGATAGCTCCCCCTATAACACACTCAAACAAGCACGATATGACAACATTGGTCATAAGTACATGCTCAAGGGCAAGCCGCGTGACGAATTTACAGATTCAAAGCTGGGCCACTCGACGGACATGATCGGGCACTTACACAGCTTCTGCAGATTGATGGAGCACACAGGGCGTTGACCTATATAGCATCTTCATTGCACACAGCAAAGGTCGCGTAGATGGTCTAACAAGCCGCCAACATGAATTGCAAGATTATGACCGAGGCCATTGACGCAGGGTTCAACCAACTGAGCGATCTAAATTGATTGACAAGGAGCCCAGCTGAACTTGGGACTGGGCTTGTCTATTTTGTTCATGGGGTGCTCAAGGGCTACCAAAGGGAAGCTCCAGCAACTGGAAAACGGCAATTCCCAGTCCAAGAGCGGGGTCCATCGTACACATGGACCATCTGTGGTGCCATTTTAAGCGGGGCGGGGGCGGGGGGGCCATAGACATACTGAACTGCGGCCCCCCACACTGTGAAGCCGCCGCTGCGCGTCGCTTTGGACGGGGCCTTCGAAGCCCTGAGGTCACGGACAGAAATGCCGGGAATGGGATCTCCTCAAGAAAACCCCTGCGGCATTTCTGGGAGATTTTTTTTCTCCTCCAGACAGGCAGGTTGAAAGATGTTGAAAGGAAAGCTAACGGGGCCTCCCCCAATCTTCTAACCTTGGTCAGATCAGAGCAATGCTACATAAGGACCAATCAGGACTGATCGATCCGCTGCCAACCTGCAAACATCTTCCCAATCATATGCGCGTCTCGAAATTGGCAGCCAAAGGGTAATGCAATCACAAAGGGAGCACGGGAACAGCCGTCCAGGCCAAAGCGGCCTTTCAAAGGGACAGCTCAATGAGCGGATGTGTGAACAACCAGGCCATGAGCCCTCTAAACCCTAAAGGGGCCAGCAAAAGTTGAAACTTTTTATGATCAGCCTCAGACAGAGACCCGCCGCACAAAGCAAACCAACTGCTTGCTAAAAAGGAGAATGAAGGGCAGAAAGGTTGGTTAATGTTTGGTAAACAGAGAAGGGGCCCATTCGGGGAGTTATCACCCATTGTCACACTCTGTTGATCCCCTTGGATGCAGGCAGCGAACCATGCCGACGTCCCAGGAAGGGCCTGTACCTGTTGAATCCCCAAACAGGGTACACCAACATAGAACCTAACAGTCATCCAGCGGGTAGCTGAATCTATGCGGAAAGCGTTTAGTTGTGGCGCGAGGATGCTGATTGTGGTGCTGCCTGGCACTAAGCAAGGGACAAGAAATATGTTCATTCCCAAGGCTTCCTATTTGAAATTGCTGGTGCTGCCTAAGATCCCCCATTTTCGGAAGGCTACAAGAAAAGCTCACGACGACTCGCCATTAAAAGAAAGGAGTTTTCTGGCTGTTTGTTTAGGAAACACCCCCTCCGACTGCGGAAGACGCTTTCCTGCCTCGGGGGCATCACCAGTCCTGGCCGCTGACTTGAGCTCGGGCTGCCTCGTCTTGTTGGTCTCCCTCTCTTTCTGGCCTGGTCCCTTTTCCCGCTGTATGCTTCACGACGTCTTTTGCGACAAAGTCCCACTATCCAACATCAACTTATATCCGGGTGCATGTGTGAAGGATGGATGAGCGTCCCCCAGGCTCGAAATCAAAACAAGCAAAATGGTTGGTTTCCCGTTGGTTTCCTTTTACAACACTACCCCAAACAAAAAGGCCCGAAAGTCTATGCGCCAACTGAGTTCAACAGCTTTTGGCATTTGTTTGCCTGGATGCCGATAGGTTAGGTTCTCCAAGATGGAGGTGCCAATGGGCTCCTTTCGGTGATACGGCAATTGGATTCCCATTATACGTACCTTTGCCACTTGCAAGGATGACCCTTTGGCCACTCACAGAAACAGGCCAAACATGGCAGAGTGCAATCGAACATGATTGCTTCGTGCGCAAGGGGCAAATGATAATTGGACTGCGAATGAAACTAACCAAAGTCCTGATACCAAATGACCAGTTCATGACGGATGATACTGTCCTGTGAAAGCAGCTCTTCATTTCCCCCCGTCCGCTGCCCCGGACAAATCCTTAAGGGTTGGGCAGAAAAGAACAGAAACGCCCCCAACCGCTTGACCCTGGATTCGATCGCCAAATGCCCGCCTGCTGGAGGAACCTGGGCAAGTGTGAAAGTGTGCAATGGGGCAGCTGCAGGAGAGCTCGTGAGCTGACCAGTCGCCTTTTTGCTGCCCCCTCTGAACCCCTCAGAGGACGTTTTTTCTTCCTGCAAGAATCAAAAGGCCACGTGATGCAAGCAAAGCTGAGATGCCCATACTTGTTGGCTCATTTCCCACCCCCCTCACCCAGATCCTTCCAAGGCCCCGGGCGGCACGCTTGGACTCCCTCTCCGGCAGCTTTGCCTGGGGCCTCGGCACGTGGGAGATGGTGGGAGTGCGGCATGTGGGTTTCTGCAGCAACCAGTCCCCAAATTCAGAAGGGAGGAACTCGCCTACCGTGATTGCCTGAAAGTTACAAGGATCCCAACCCTCGCCACAATGCCATATCTTGTCATATCTTAGTTCCGTAAACCTCTCAGGGGTTGATAGCCATCCTAGGGTTGTAGGATGCTTAAACCTGGCTATCTGGTGAGAGTTCGGCCAGGGTGCCAACAAAAAGAAGCGTCCTTGAATCCTGCTCAACACGGCCCCAGTGGGTGCCTCCATATCACGGGGTTGCCAGACTTTGCCTGGTAAATCTAATTCTCCGCGCTCAAGCCAGCAAGGGCTTGCGTGAGAGATCAGCTCACCCTTACGCATGGAACCCAAAAGCAGGCAAAGGGGTTCCTAAATGTCCCGGGCTCCCCGAAGCTTGGCAAGAAACTGAAGGCGCGAAAAGGACACAAGGCTTGAAGGGGCTTCCACCTTTTGTTCTCCTCCAAAAGCTGCACTCGGCACCAGCAGTGCAAACTCTTCAAAAGTTGACAAACTTCTGAATCACTCCGCAACACCCTTCGGCGATCCTGTGTTGCGGTTCTTCCAGGTTTCTTCGCCGACACTGCTGTGGATTCCAAAGCTTGCATGCAGCAGAGCCGTCTCAACCTAGCCCGTGGCAGCAAAGGGCTGCAAAAGTATGCTTGCAACATGTCACTGCGCTCACGCATACAAACTTTTCTCCACTCACATCAACCCTGGTCTGACTGCTCGTCCACGACGTCTGAAGGTGCCGGGAGCACCAAAGAAGTGCCCCCAGTGCCGCTGGCAGCAATGCGATGCAATGGTGTGTAGCTGTCCTCAGTCTGGTCCTTACCGGCGCAAGCTCCCAACAAGAAACGCACGGCTTCTATGCGCCCTGCGCAGCCACATGAATCGGAATGGATCCAGAAGTGGACTCTTCCTCATCAACGCCGGCTTCCAGCAAACACCAGCAAAGCAGCATGGAAGGGTGTCGCCCCGTTGCAGTTGCATGGCACTAGCTTCCAACAATCAAGCCACGATTTCCACTTGACCACGTCGAGATGCAGCATGGATTGGCCTCAAACGACTGTTACTGGCCTTCTTTCTCCTTGCCTGTCCAAGTCATAGCTCCATGGCACTTGCAAGGATGCGCAAAAAGTGGCCGAAGCATGTGAAAAGAGCAGCTCGGTTGGCTAAGCAAAACAGGGCTCAACAAACCCTGGTCCCAGATGAGGCTGGCTAAACTCAG